CATATATATGAAATAAGAAAGACTAACATGGGCCCTCCCTGGTGGTGCAGCGGGTTAAAGCGCAATACTGGGAAGCTTAAGCCACTTCCGCATGAGGTCGATTCTTGCCTGCCCCGGAGGAGATCCACATGGTGTGGTAGACCTCTCCTGACCCACCCACTGCTCCCCTCAGGAGTGTACTTCGTCGAGCTGCCTATTGTGCTCCCCACTGTCTCTGGTGAATATTCTCACCCTCGGCATCTGTGGCCTGTACCCCAGTTCTGTATGAATAAATAAATAAATCTTTAAAAAAAAAGACCAGCATGAGCTGGAGGTTTATATTTGCTTATTACTACTAAGCTGTTATTAACTGAACTCCGATTTTGCTCCCATAACCCTGAATGCTCTAGATATGGTGAGGCTTAGGCTTAGGAATGGTAAGTTATATTTTAAACCATTTCTTCTGATCTACCATGTAGGAAAAGCTGAAGATCCTGATCTTATCATCCCAAGTCAGGTAGTAGTAAAGTATTGGCTCTGGTTTGGAGAATGGCTTCACATTGTTGCCATGGTAAATTGGCATGTGTCTGCTAAGACCAAATAGACAAGGCTTGCATTGTGGCTAATCTGAGTTTTGGCAGAATATCTTGGGATTCTCCTGAAACATGAGAAGATGGGAAGCTTGTGAGGAGTTACTGTGAGGCTATCTCCCACTCTCTTCCCTTTCACCAAGGAGACTGTCAGAGATGCTTTCCACAGTCCTCATAAAGACTTTCTGCTTCAGTCCTTTGAGGTACAGCTGCAAGAGCTTCAAGCTGCATAACATTGGCCCATCTCCTCAGCAATAGGCTGTCCCACAGCTCAAGCTGCTTTGCTATCTGACCCTTTTGGTTTGGTTCTGCCCACTCTGGTGTAGAGGACTAAGAATATGGAGGACTGGCACCTTTTACACTTGTCCTTTCTCTGTGTCAGTAATAAGCAGTCTAAATCTACAAATGACTTAAGTGTTGCATGTTTTCTGGGCAAATCTGTCAGATCTTGTCCTTACCTTGTTTATGTGCTCAACACTCTGGAGGTCATATGTTCTCATGTTTCAACCTCTCTTTAGAGCCTTTGACAAACACAATCATATTCTTTCAGTGAACAATTTTATTCATAGCTTTTTGGATCTTTATAATCATTCTGAAAATAAGGTATTGTACAGAAACAGAAGTTGAGACTTGGAGGAGTTAATCAGTGTTCTAAGAATTACAGTAAGCCACCAAGTTCTGTTTAAATTCAGATGTGACTCCTACTTTGGTGCTCATTGCACTGACTATTGTGCATTAGTAGTATGTGTATGACTATAGGGGAACTTTAAAAAAAACCTATTTTTTACTGAAGTTAACTTTGTATTATAGCATTTTTAAGTTTCAGGTGTGCATCATTAAAAATCATGTGTAGGCCCTCCCTGGTGGTGCAGCGGGTTAAAGCACAGCACGAAGAAGCTAAAGCCACTTCCCATGAGTTCGATTCCCGCCTGCCCCGGAGGTGATCACATGGCACACCAGACCTCTCCTGACCCGCCCGCTGCTCCCCTGAGCAGTGTACTTGGTCCATCTGCCTGTTCTACTCCCCACTCTGTCTCTGGTGAAGCCTTTTGCAGCCCCTGCACCTCTGGCCTGTACCCCAGTTTTTGTATGCATAAATAAATCTTAAAAAAAGAAGAAAGAAATTAAACATAAAAAACAAACAAAAATATCACATACCTTAAAAAACAAAACAAGGGCCCTCCCTGGTGGCATAGCGGGTTAAAGCACAGCACGAAGAAGCTAAAGCCACTTCCCATGAGTTCGATTCCCGCCTGCCCGGGAGGTGATCACATGGCACACCAGACCTCTCCTGACCCGCCCGCTGCTCCCCTCAGCAGTGTACTTCGTCGATCTGCCTGTTCTGCTCCCCACTCTGTCTCTGGTGAATCCTCTCACCCTCCGCATCTCTGGCCTGTACCCCAGTTCTGTATGAACAAATAAATAAATCTTTAAAACAAAACAAAACAAAACAAAACATTGTACTACATAACAGGAGCAAACAAAAATCACAGTAGATAAAACCAAAAATCTTAAGGAATAGTATCTGAATCAAGCTTCCTGGACATTGAAATTACGTTTCAACTTTATTCAAATTTATTTGCTTTTATTCATTTGCAGTCTATAACCATTCACTTTAAAAAAAAGATTTATTTATTTATGCATACATAACTGGGATATAGGCCAGAAGTGTATGTGGGGTGGTGTGTGTGTGTGTCTGTGTGTGTATGTGTGTGTATGTGAGAGAGAGAGAGAGAGAGAGAGAGAGAGAGAGGATTCACCAGAAACAGAGTGGGGAGCAAAACAGGCAGATGTAATGAAATACACTGCTGAGGGGAGCGGCAGGGGCCAGAAGAGGTCTGCCACACCATGTGGGTCACCGTTCTGGCCAGTGGGGATGGAACTCATGCTGCAGTGTATGCAATAGCTTCATAGTGCTGTGCTTTAACCCGTTGCACCACAAGGAAGGCCCACTATTCACTTTCAATAATAGAAACTAAAGACCTACAACAACATTTTTTTCCCTTGATTAGGGAGTGTCTAATGAAAGTGGTTCATTCCCTACTCTCCACTGGCCCAGAAAATGAAGCACCTGCCTGTTATATCTTCCTAAACAAAACACTGACATAGATCAAGAGAAATAAGATAACTCTGCACATATCATTTTGCTCTAGTGATGTGAATACTGAATTTCTTAATTTTATTTTTGACCTTTAAGTCCATATACAAGACAAAATAAAATCCCATCACATGAATTTGGCAGGATGAAAACCTATCCCAGGAGACTGGAAGTAATGTGAGGTTAAACCCAATTCCTGACCCATCACTACCCTACTCTTTGCTAATGACCTATGGTTGTTCAGCCCAGTTAATAAAATACAATGCCCTAAACCCTGAAGAGTTATTTGGGAGCCTTCCTTCCAACTGTCTTGTTAGATTACTTCACATTAAACTGATTCTTTCACTAAAAATGGTGGTGTGGTTTTTGACTTTTGTGACATTGCATACTGGACCCACGGTGGATAATGATATTTGTTCATTCATATACAAAGGTTTTGTGCACTCTGTTCTGATACACTGAATACATACTATGAGGACTCATTTTGAGATATCTAAGCACATAGGGTATTTCCTTGTACTTTGGTAGTTTTGCATATAGTAAATTCAGAAATCAAACACAATAATTATTAAAAGAGCATGAAAAACACACCATAATTGAATGGTTAGTGAACTGTAGGGACGCAAAGAATATTGTCAAGGTGAAGATCTCAACAAGAAGAAGCCATGGGGTACAATGCTGAAGACTGGAAGTTTAAATAAGTCCACATTGAATATTCACTTCAGTAGGTGTTTAAAGCATATTTAGATGTTTGTATTTAAGCTAGCTTTTCTTTTATTATTTTACTACAAGTGACAATCTTTATGGGTTTCTACATCCAGTTCACAAAGTTTAATTCATATTATTTTAAAAGTAGAAATGAGGGCTCTCCATGGTAGTGCAATGGTTTTAAAGTACAGCACTGTGAAGCTACCACAGCCACTGCAGCACAAGTTCGATCCTCGGCCGGGAGGGACCCAAATGGTGTGGCAGATCTCTTCAGACCCGCCCGCTGTTCCCCTCAACAGTGTATTTCAGTCAGTCAGCCTGTTCAGTTCCCCACTCTTCTCTGGTGATTCCTCTCACCCCCTGCACCTTTGCCCTTGTATCAGTTCTGCATGCATAAATAAATAAATGAACAAATGAATAAATCTTTTAAGTAGAAATGAAAAATGTAAATACATATATAGTGGACCTGGACTTTAAGAAAACATAGTAAAGATTAAACAATGAATCCCACAATATGGTTTCTCTCAACACATGAAATATGCTAGAAGTCAATTAACTAGAAAAGTTATGAGAAAATTACCAGTCATTTAGTACTCATCATTACAGTCTAAAAAAAATGGGAAAATGAGGCTATAAATCATAAATATTAACATTAACATTCAAATGGCATAAGAAAAAGGACTCATCTTAGCTATTTCAATATCTACACTTCCACTTTATTAAATGCAAGGGGCTACAGACACATCCCTTGCCCTGCTGTAGACAGTGTGCCTCAACAACATGAATAAAAGGGAGAAAGGAAACAAAAAGAGAAAAGTTAAGGAACAGCATTCATTTCTTCCTGAGCTGCAGAATTTACACCACAGGGTGGGTTTATCAGTTCCTCACTCCACCCTACTTGGGCCAATGGCTGTGATCCCTGGATTCCAAATCAGATGCCTGTGAGGTATCAGGATATTTTCCCACTGGAAATTCCCATCATCTATGAGATGGAAGCCATGAAGGCTGTGTATTCAAAATTGAAATTTTTGCACTGCAATAGAAAAAAAAAACAAGATAAACTAAAATGAAAGAAATTTCAAAAACCAGGTAAGAGTGAAAGTGAAATATACTAAATTTTTAATCTATTATTGCATGCTGTTTGGATCTCATTTACATATTTAAATGTTTCCTGAAGGAGACAAGCAACATCGATACAAAAAACAAAGTCGACACATTTATGACATTATATACTGCTATATCAAGCTAAAGCACCCCTGGATAATTCCATTGCATACGCTGGTGAATACGAGTGAACACTACATCCTTACGCATGTGCACTGTACACCTGCCACCAGGGACCCAACTTGAAAAAATCTCAGTTAGTGCCCCTGCGGGAATATTTCATAAGCCATCGTCCTGAAGTCTGTCTCCCCGGAAGTGAAGATTACAGTGAATGTACCTGGTGGAAAGCAAAGGTGGGGAGCACGGGCAGGGCGCCACCAGCTGGACAGCCAGGGGGCCATGTTTGGAGAGCTACAGCCCTTTTTTGTGACAAAGAAGGTGGCTCTGAAAAGAGCCTTTGGTTTGTGGGCTCTGAAAAGAGCCTTTGGTTTATGGGGCTCTGGTGGCCCGGGACAGGCGGCTCACGCGCAGCTAGTGTATCTGATGACGGCCTTAGTGGCCACGTTCACGGCGTGCTTGCCGATGTCGCCGGGCAGCAGCAGGCGCACGGCCGTCTGGATCTCTCTGGACGTGAGGGTGGCGCGCTGGTTGGAGCGGACCAGGTGACTGGCCTCCTGGACGATGCGCTCGAACATGTCCTTCACGAAGGAATCCAGGACGTTCAGGGCCTCCTGTGAAAGGCTCAGGTCCTCGTGGATTTTCTTGAGAACCCGGGGGAAGTAGGTGGTGAAGCTCTGGCTTTGTTTCTTGGCGAGCCAGCGGCGCGTAGACTGCTTCCTCTTCAGGGCCACCTTCTTCAGCTGCTGCTGCTTCTGCGTGTGCTTCTCCTTCTTCTTTTTCTTCAGCCTCGGAACTGCCGGCTCCCCTGAGCCCAGGCACTCCTCAGTCGAAGCCTCGACGAAAGCGTCGGCCATTTCAGAGTCAACTTCCTGACAGCTGGCAGGAAGGACAATGGTCACCTCTGAGCGAGCGGTGGCCCATTTATAGGGGCTGCCTTCGCTGACGTCATGGCAATAGCCAAATCTCATTGGATAAAATGCACTGAGTGGCGGGAGGCAGTCACTGGGCAAGGTGCTATCCAGTCAGGCAGGGCAGACTGGCGGTTGGTGACCTCTAACCTTTCTGTCAGAAAATCTTTGAAAGCGACCTATAGAGCTAACGGTCATCGAAACATGAACTGAGGTGTGATTACAGCACAGGAGATTTGCAAGTCTTCACCAAATGGGTTTTAATTATTGTAATTGGTATTGGTTTTAGCGATTCTGGTGGCCACAATCCAAACCCACACTGCCATGAGGACACTCACACTGGGTTCTTTGCCTACAATTCTTAACTTCTGGTTTACCTAGAGAAAGCGTGACTAGAGTATCAACTCCAGACAGGGTCAGTAGTGTGCCCTGGAAATCCAAATGAAGTGGCAGCTACTCTTTCCACCTCTGATCAGAAATTTCAGAGATTCTGCTGAGAAATGACACAAGCACGATCTCTAAAACACAGAACATATACCAAAATGAGGTCACGATGGCACTATTTTGGAAGCCCTTAAATTGTACACTGTAAAAATTTTGTGCTTAACAGAACTCTTATTCCTTCAACTTTTGTGGACAATAAAGATTAAATAAAATTATTCTGAAACATTTAGGTCATCAGGAATGCTGTAACTGGTGGTGCAGAAAAGTAGCAAAAATGACCCGCTGAGAAACTGATTGATTCAATACACATATTTTAAAGATTTATTTATTAATGCATACAGAACTGGGGTACAGACCAGAGGTGCAAGGGACCGTGAGAGGCTTCACCAGAGACAGAGTGGGGAGCAGAACAATAAGACAACGGGGCGGGGGACGGTAAGCAAGTATCACTTAAGAAAGAAGTCCATAATGACTTTCTTCCAGAAATGAAGGTTTAGGGTAGGAAATCATGTCATGTGGTCAGAAAATCGTGGTGTTCCTGGAAACACTATGCAATCGGATATATGAGCAAATACTGTTGGGGTCTGACAACAGTAAAAATGTGTGATTTCCTAATACCTTTCTTGGTAAAGGCAGACTGAAAAGAACGTCAGGTATTACCAACAGAGAGTTGAAGGAGCCCACTGAAAGAAACTAGTGCTTGGGGACCGAGCACAGTGTATTTCTATGCCACTGTATTCAAATGAGGTGGGTCTGGCCTGCTAAGCTGATTGGATGAAATGCTGAGGGCAACCTTGTCAATAACCATAATTTTAAACGTGATTGGATGGTTCTGCTTGGCAAGGACCAATTAAAAGTCATGGAAGTTAGACCGGCTCGAAGCCTCTATAGCCCCCTCAGAGCATTTGGAAGCAGCCACGGCTAGCACATTACTTGTTGGAATTTCATCTTTAGTTATTCCATTGAGTGTGATTTCTGCAACCGATCCTTGATGCCAGACGGTTCTGATCATTTATACAGTGAACCAAAATGTACTGTTTGCCCAGCGATAATACACTCTGGCTAGAAGAAGAAATGACGGACTTGGGGAAAAACCCCTGGAAAGTAGGAACCTGGCTAACCATTGCCTCAGATTCTGCTCAAGACCTCAGTGATTGGAAAAAAGAGAAAACGGCAACAATCTCCAAATACTGAACAGAAATCGCTATCTCTATAAAAAGTAAAATACTTGTATATTTTTTAGATTTATTTATTTATGCATACAGGCCAGAAGTGCGGGGGCAGTTAGAGGATTCACCAGAGACAGAGTGGGGAGCTGAACAGCCATATCTACTGAAATACACTGCTGAGGGGAGCAGCGAGTGGGACAGGAGAGGTCTGCTGCGCTATGTAGATCACACCCAGGGGCAGGGATCGAACTCATGCTGAAGTGGCTTTAGCTTTAGTGTGGTGTTTTAACCCGCTGTGTCACCAGGGAAGGCCCAATTTTTACATTTAAAAGACTCTCTTGAAGATACTTCAGTCCCAGAAAAATACTATTAAGTGTATAATTATTGAATAAACATGAGTAATGTGCACTGAAAAAAAAAAACCCAACTCAAATGCATATATAAGTAATATCTAGGTGAGATAAAGTGGGTTTAGTGATTCTGGCAGCCACAATCCAAACCCACACTGCCATGAGGACACTCACACTGGGTTCTTTGGCTACAATTCTTAACTTCTGGTTTACCTAGAGAAAGCGTGACTAGAGTATCAACTCCTGACAGGGTCAGTAGTGTGCCCTGGAACCCATGAATGAAGTGGCGGCTACTCTTTCCATCTCTGATCAGAAATCTCAGAGATTCTGCTGAGAAATGACACAAGCACTATCTCCAAAACACAGAACATATACCAAAATGAAGATCACGATGGCACTATTTTGGAAGCCCTTAAATTGTACAATGTAAAAATTTTGTGCTTAACAGAACTCTTATTCCTTCAACTTTTGTGGACAATAAAGATTAAAGTGGAAAATAAAATTATTCTGAAACATTTAGGTCATCAGGAATGCTGTAACTGGTGATGCAGAAAAGTAGCAAAAATGACCCGCTAAGAAACTGAATGATTCAATATTTTTTTATGGAAACACCATGATTTTCCATGAAAGGTATCACACTACAGACACATGTAAAAAAAAATCCATGGACAAGGATTAGTAATATATTATTCAAGGTAAAAGGTGGCTAACAGCTTGGACTGAGTCTACAATCAGGGCATGTCACCAGTTACCACTGTTTGTTTTTTGGCCTCAGTGAGGTGGCTCTGTTCCCATATCAAATATAAGAAATTGTGGTAAATTCGAACCTACAGCAGTGAGACAATGGGGGTGGGGAGCAGGCAAGTATCATTTAAACAAGAAGGACATAATGATGTTCCTCCAGAAGTGAAGGTTTAGGTCAGGAGATCAGGTCACGTTGTTAACCGAATCGTGGTGTTCCTAGAAACACTATGTGGCCCGATATATGAGAAAATATAGTTCGGGGTGTGACAACATTTTATTCACGGTAAAAATGTGTGATTTCCTAATACCTTTCTTGGTAAAGGAAGACTGAAAAGAACGTCAGGTATTACCGACATAGTTTCCATCTAAGGAAACTAGCGCTTGGGGACTGAACACAGTGTATTTCTGTGCCACTGCATTCAAATGAGGTGGGTCTGCCTGCTAATCTGATTGGAGGATATGTTGAAGGCAACCTTGTCAATAACCATAATTTTAAACGTGATTGGATGGTTCTGCTTGGCAAGGGCCAATTAGAAATCATGGAAACTAGACTGTCTCAAAGCCCTCTATTGCCCCCCTCAGAGAGCATTTGGAAGCCGCCCGGGCTAGCACCTTACTTGTAGAAATTTCATTTCCAGTCAGTCCATTTAGTGTGTGACCTCTGCAACCGATCCTCCATGCCTGACGGTTCAGGTCATTTATGCAATGACATGAAATGTACATGCTAAGTCATTCTGGATAGAACTGATAAATTATAAACTGAATCAAAACTGGTATTAGGAATAACTGAAGAAATGGTGCTCTTCACATAGTGTAATGCACACCATGGAGGATACAAGGCATGTGTCTAAGGCCTTCATGAGACTACTAACTCTACTGCTAGTAAATGGTTATGATTATGTAGGGCCAATATAAAAATTTTGTTATGAGAAAATACGATGTAAAGATATAATCAGTGATGGAAGCTTTCTTTTCCTTATAAAGGAAGATACCCTTTTATATTTGAGGATATTAATATTCCTACCCAAAATAAATCAACTCCTTCTCTTGTTTTGAAGCTCAAGATTAGTCATGTGCATGAAAGTCTCTAAATTCCTATAATAAATCAGGGGGAAATAAGCAAGTACATAGACAGTTATAAGAAGTTGTCTTACCAATTTTCTCCTGCATTTTTAGCTTGGATTCCCAAGGTGAGTCTTATAGGTTCTTCCTGGTTCAGTTTACTGTTCTTGGGAGCATTGGGTGTGGTTAGAGGCATCATTGCTGTAATCATTTCCACTTTCTATTACTGATTTCAAAAAAGCCATGTCATTATAAAAGCAGGTTTTATACTATCATCACATTTATTTAGCCTATTTTGATAGGGTAACCACAGACTTTCTTGTCCAGTTTTCTTTCAGAGTCAAAGTGTTGCTACAAAGACATGTGTGGAAATGGCAGGCAAAATCAGGCCCGGTGGGCACACTTGCAGGGAAAGATCAAGAGTAGAACAAGGACTCCTCTTGGGACTTGGACATTTGCAGAGCACAAATTCTTATGGGAAAATGAAAAGCCTTTGCTTTTAATCTCACTTTTCCCATAATTTGACCTCTTTGAAGTTCTGGTGCCTTTTTTTTCTGGAGACAATACCATTGCTAGGCTGAGTTAATAGTGCTTGTTGAGTGTCCCTTAAGGTCCCATAAGTGCTGTGTGCTAAGAAGACATTCTACTACATGGTGAATGAGGGCACAGGTTTTGGCTGGGATTCAACAGGGGTTCAGACAGGGCTTCTTACTAGCTGTGTTACCTTGGATAAGTGACTTGATGTCTCAGAATCTCAGTTTCCTGCTCCATGGGACAGGGTCCAGATGACTGTCTCAAGGACTCAGTGAAATAATCCAGACACAAGTGCCTAGGTCCTGAGTCTCAAGCCATGAGGCGAAGGGAGGGGCTGGCAGTGAGGGTCTGTACCAACAGCTGTATGGATGTGCTCTCCTGGTTACTGGGGCCCATCTGTTTACTGAGGGCTGACCGTGAGATAAGGGAAGATGGCTTTGCCCTCCTGAGCCTCGAGGTGATGAAGTTGTGGAGATAAGGCTGCTGTGTGGGCAGTGATGGGAAGTTGCTAGGGAACAACTGCAAAGTGCCTTGTGACCTG